GACAACGGGGGCTCGGCCCCTTTAAGGGGGGGGCGCGGGTCCGCGCGGTTTCCATGGCAACCGGGAGGGCTGCCAGGGAGCTAAGCGGATGGGGGGGCGCGGATTTAAAGGGACCGCGCCCCGCTCGCGTGTGCGCACACACACGCATCCACGCACACGCATGAACACGCACACGCAGGTGTGTCGTCCCCCCCACCCCCCGCAGTGTCGTTGTCCCCGCAGCGCCCACCCGCGCAAAAACGACACCCTCCCACCCCCTTGCACATGTGTGGTGCCAGGCCTGAGTGTGCCCTGTGCACACGTGTGTGCAAGGCCCACGGTCCCTCTCACACATACCCTGTGGCCCCTGCATAAGCCACCTCCCCCTGCCCCGCATCGTCTCACACGCCCAAGGCGGGACTTTGCACACGCATGTGTCCGTGTGCATGCAAGCCTCAGGTGCGTGTGCAAGCCCTGTGTGTGTGTGCATGCCCTGTTCTGATGAACACTCACCCGTGGTGGAGCTGGGGGCAGCCACTGGCATCTTGGCACGCTGCAGGCACGGCCAGGCACGCGTGACTGGCACGGACAGGGACAGCCGCGCAGGCGTGCGGTGGCCTGGCACACTCAGGCACCCTTGTGGGCATGGGCATGTGTTTACACACACGTGTGCATGGGTGCGAGTGCACCACGGGCATGTGCACACACACGAGGACCCCGCGCCCCCCCACCCAGCCTCACACTGTGCCCCACAGAATGGGGGGAAGCCCCAGTGACGGCACTGACACCCTCCCAGGGGGGTACCCCACGCTGTGTCCCAGCACCACATCCCTAGTACCAGTGTCCCCAGTGCCCCCAGCACCAGTATTCCCAGTGCCTCCAGTATCAGCATCCCCACTGTCCCCAGCACAGACACCCCCAGTCTCCCCAGGGTCCCCAGCCCCAGTGGTCTGTGTCAGTGTCCCCAGTAACAGCACGCCAGTCCCAGTAACCCCAGTGTTCCCAGTACCAGTGCCCTCAGTGTTTTCAGTGTCCCCAGTACCAGCACCCCCAAATTTCCCAGTGTCCCCAGTTCCAGCACCCCTAAAGTCTGCAGTGCCTCAAACATCCCCCAATACCAGCACCCCCAAAGTCCCCAGTGCCCCCAGTACAAGCGACCCCAACCCCAGAGCCCCCAGTGCCCCCAACATCCCCCACTACCATCTCCCCTAAAGTCCCCAGCGCCCCAAATGTCCCCCAGTACCAGCACCCCCCAAATTTCCCGGTGTCCCCACTGTCCCCAGTGCCAGCATCCCTGCACGCCCAGCCCCAGTGCCCCCCCAGACGCCCCCCAGGCAGGCAGAGGCAAGAGGTGGCTGCAATGGGGGTTTATTGGGGAGGGGGCCCAGTCTAGCCCCGGGGTGACGGGGGTGCTGCCCTGGGCTCCTCTTCACCTGCCGGGCCCCAGCGATGTCCCTGTAAAGAGAGGGAGTCAGCACCCCACAGTGCCTTTAGCACCCCTCTGCGCTGAAGGGCTCCTCACACAGCACCCGGCCGCCCGACCGCTTGCCATACCTGCCGGGGGGGAGCACGTTATGGGGGGGCAGCAACAAGCAGTGGGGTGCAGGGGGGAGAGGGGTGTGAGGGAGTGTACAGGGGAACCGGGGTGCAGGGGGGCATGTGGTGCAGGATGCAGTGGGAATTGCAGCAGGGACCCAGCTGCAGCTATTGAACAGGGTGCAACGAGCAGGTGCTGCGATGGGGAGCATGTTGAGGAGGCTGCAGCAGGAGAGCACGTTGCAACAGGAGGCACATGGCATTGAGGGAGCGTGCTGCAACGGGGAGCATGCAGTGATGGCAGCCCACTGCAATGGGGAGCATGCAGTGATGGGGAGTGTGCTGCAACAGCAGTTGTATCATGTCAATGGATTGCACCAGGGAGTGCATTGCACCAGAGAGTGCATTGCACTGGGGAGTGCGTTGCAGCAGGTAACACGCTGCAATGAGGCAGTGCATCGCTGCAGGGAGCACGCTGCAATGGGGAGCGTGCAGCAACGGGGAGCACGCTGCAATGGGGCAGTGCATCACTGCAGGGATCATGTTGCAATGGGGCAGTGCATGCTGCAATGGGGCACTGCATTGCTGCAGGGAGCACGCTGCAATGGGGAGCACGCTGCAATGGGGAGCAGGTCACAGCCGTGCAGCACATGTCAAGGGTCCCGCGGCTGCGTCCCTGCTCACCGGTGGCGGGTGACCACGTTGAGGTACTGCTGCAGGTCGTTGTAGAAGCGGACCAGGTCCTCAACGGGCGCGTCATCCCCGGGGTAGGTGGGCTGCGCGGGGCCGGCGGTGGCGGGGGGCCCAGCCAGCAGCGCCAGGGCGCAGGCCAGGAGCAGCAGGGACGGCCAGCGGGGAGCCATGGCTGCGGCCACACTGCGGCCTCAGGCTGCGGCCAGGGCACCCCCTGCACGCACATGGGCACGCACACACGTCTGCACACCACCAAGCACGCACAGGCAGCTGCACACATACATACACACATGCACGACGCCCAGCTGCGTCCACACATACGTGTACAGGCACACACACTACACAGCACCTGCCTGCACGCACACGTGCGTGCACATGCACACATATGTGCACGCCAGCTGGCTGCACGCACACATACATGCACACCTACACATAGATGCACGCACACATGCACACACACCTACATGCACACGCACATGTGCATGCACACCATCCAGCTGCATGCACACATACATGCAAATGCACATGCATGCACACACCACCTGGCTGCATGCACATGCACACACACGTACATGTACATACACACATGTGCACACCACCTGACACATGAACACACACCCCCTCGTAGAGCACACACACCCCCCAAACCTCCGCTCCTGGGGTACACACACCCAGAGCCTTGCACACACACACACACCCCTTGCACACTCGCACCCAACTCTGCTTCAAGCGTGCACACACGCAGGCACAAAACCTCCCTTCTTGCAGCACACACATCAGTGTGCACACTCACAACATGCACACACACTCATCAGTGCACACACACACTCTGCTCCCAGGGAAAGTGCTGCTCATGGACCACATGCATGTGCACCCCCCCCCCCCCGTTTCACACCACTGCACGCAGACACACACGCTCAGCCTTACACATGCGTGCACACACACGCACCCTTGCACAAGTGCACACCCTCTGTGGCAAGCACCACGCTCACTGACCTTCTGCAGCCCCACCAGCCCCTTGTCCCCACTGCCAGCCCCCTGGTCAGCCCTGTCTCCCCCTGTCCCCACTCACCTGCTTCCACGAGTGGTGGCACAAGGACACAGCGAGACGAGGGCACACGGCGAGACAGGGCTGGGGGGGACGCTGCCGTCAACTCCCTGGTTCCTCGGTGACACTGCTGCCACCGCGGTGCTGGCCCTTATATCCCCCCTGTCCCCCCTGCTGATGTCACCCTGCCAGGCAGCACCTGTGGCCAGGTGGCCATGGGGGGGGGCAAGGGGACATTAGGGCGGACAGTGGCCATTGGGGGGGCATGACAAGGACACCTGGCCCCTCGCATGGCCCTGGTTAATGTTTGACCCTGGGCTGGGGGGGCATCCGGTGGGGCCGAGGACACAGAGCTGGGTGTCCGGTGTCTGTCCCCAGAGCATCTTGTCCCCACAGATGGATTGAGGGACGGATGGGGGGACAGGGGAGGGAGGCTGGTGGGAGGGGTGGCAGCAGGACAGAGGGATGGGGAGTGGGACAGAGGGACAGGGGGCGCAGGGGTGATAGAAGGGTGAAGGGTCCAACACCGGGGCGAGGGGTGGGATGGAGGGACAGGGAGGAGACAGGAGGAGCAGTGGCTGCAGCAGGTCGGGGACAGCAGCCATGACAGAGGACATGGCTGTCCCCCCAGCTCCCACCATGGGCCAGGCTGGGGGGCAGAGGGGTGGGGGCCCCCCAGCCTGTAGAGCCTCTGGCCCAGCCTGACACAGCCCCCAGTGTCCATAGTCCCCGCAGGGACCCCACGGTGGGTGTCAGCACCCCCAGACAGTGCACCCCAGAACTCACCTCCAGGGCACCCCGCACCCAGTGCACCCCAGAGCTCACCACCAGGGCACCCCAGTAACCTGTGCACCCCAGCACCAGCTGCACCCCTGGTGCCCCATGAACCCCAACATCAGCGCATCCCCCCCCCCAGCACACCCCTGCACCCAGCACACCCCAAGACCCAGTGCACACCATTCCCTAGCACCCACTGCACCCCGACACCCATCCATAGTGTATCCCCCCCAGTGCACCCCAGAGCCCACTGCCAGTGTCCCTCGACACCCCCATAGCCAGTGTACCCCCCAGTGTGTCCCAGCTCCCCTCA